GATACTTAATAATATTGTATTGGTACAGGACAACTTCACCGACAATTCCTTTTGGGTTGTTCGTCGTGGAATTTCTGTATTATTGTATAATATACTCAAGAACAGGCAAGATAAATAAAATCTAAGCAATCAATACGGACATAGGCTGGTCCATTGCCCGACTGGAAACAATAATTTAACATCGCTTGTAAACTGCTGCAGAAAGTAACAATGCCCGGTGCACTGTCCTTCAATGACGATTTAATTCTTTATTATTGTATATATGTTTTATGAGCAAAAGAATCCTAAAATCTAAGCCATCAATAAGGATACTGACAGTGACAATGAAGTGTCGCTTATAAGGGATACCCTCTTCGGTGCATATTAGTAGCGCCGATTTCCAAGAGGCCCCTTCCTGCAGAGGACAGAAAGACTTCTGGATTTATCAGGAGAACTTGCATTTAATATATAGGAGAACTTGAAAAGTCAAACTTATAGCATTGAACAAAAACACTGAATGACGCCACTCATTAATAGCCATATAGAGAAAATTGTTAGTTAATAATTAACACAAAGTCCTAAAGACACGAGTTCTCTGTTAAGGTGACGATGTAAACGCTCTGAGAACAAACAGATAAACAAAATCTGGGATTAACATCGTCTGTAAAAGCGCCGCGTTGGCTCTTCTAGTTTGCTAAATGTATCTGTGAGTTGAGGGCGCAGTTGAAAGTTGACCAGCTCGTATAAATTCAAAAGATCGTAACTTTGGGTAAGTATACTCGTTGAATTTTATATAAAAGAATGTATTATATTTTGCGAGTAGCCTTTAAGCTCGGTTCATTATAACTGTATTAAGTATTTCTGAGTAAAATGAGGTTTAGCCTATTGCAGAGAAAATAATTTTGGGAAGAAAAACAAATTCAAACTGTGGAAGTGTATATTTTTTATTGTAAATGCTGCATGATTGATTTGTTGCCTATGTGTGGATTGTTTTCTGTGTGGTGTGATTAATTTCTTTTTCTCTGTCTGTTGTCTCTTTGGCAAAGACAAACATGAAAGGTTTTGAATTCAAATTGATCGTTGCGGCTACGAAAAAGTCAAATCGCACAGCAAAATCGAAGCAGACGTTGAAAGAAATAATACTTGAAATCAGTGTTATTTTTTTCTCGACTGTAATACGTGGGGAAAAGCGGTCAGAAGCCGCAGCAACGATACTCGCGCGATTTCACGAAATTCACGCTTAAAGCAGTATTGGAAGAAATTCTACCCGACATCAGTGTTATTTTTTTACGTTTACTGCCATACCTTATTACCCGAAATATTTGACTACGAGTATGACGAAAACTGAAAACAAAAATCAAATCGGTCTAATAAAAATAAATTATAGTGAAAATCTAATCGTAAATGGATTTCTGTTCGCCGATATACTCCACTTCCATCAAGTGGCTACGAAAATGACAAAAATTACACCGAAAATTGAAGTAAACAATGCAACGAAAAATACGGCAAAAATAATCACATCGCTAGTGAGAGAAATAATGTATGATGTCAGTGTTATTTTTCTTACATGGAACCTCGAAAATAGAATTGGTTACGAAAATAACGAAATTAAAGAGACGAAAATTACGGCAAAATTTACAGCGGCCGCGAAAGAAAAGAAACACTTAAATCTAACTTCGATCGATGCTATATGCAAAATTGGCTCCAAAAATGACGGAAATTATGATCGGCAGCGGATCGGTAGCATCTTCGACACTGCTTCAAAAAGTCGGCAACGAATTTTGGCAAACGGTGGGAACAACGGCAGCAAAACAAAATTAAAATGACGGAATTTCCGGGGGAGAATCGCAGCGTTATCAAAAAAAATCACCATGTCGAACATAAAAATCTGTTAAGAAAAAATGCAAATACGGAATTTCAATTACAGCAGTATTTAAAAGACTTTTTTCCCCCGCAGATCGTCTACGAAAATATTGGTAATTGCTGCACATCTTCGAGAAGTTTGCCTTCAAAAAACAAGTGTATGCATGTGAATGAGTAAACTAATTGTAAACAATAAAGCTTGGAAAAAAATGTCCGTAAGACTTGCGACATGTAGCATGCGAAATTTTTTCGTGTTCTTGTATTTTTTTCAACCTTCATCTACATTTATGTGAATCCGATTTGGAAAGATCGTCAGGGATACATGTTTTCATCATGTACATGTACAATTGTATCCTTAAGTTACTCTTTGGTAGTTCTTATATGACCTTTCATAACGTATAGGCCGATCATCAAGCATCGATGTGGAATGCGACTTGATATCAGCGCTGTTTTAATCAAGGAATGAAGCAGAAGCATACGGGCAAAATAACAGCCTGCAAGCAGTGAAAGAGATAGCTTATACATGTACCTGGAAAAGTAGTTTTAATATCATCGTCCATGACTTTCACAATCAAATTCTTGTGCGGCTATAAGTATAGCGCACTTACCGTTAACTTCCACGTGCGGCACAACTTCCCTCGCTATTTTTTTTGTTGCAATTAGGTAGAGCCTATAGATGTAACCCTCCTTCCTGGTTAGTGTAAGTCCGATTTGGGAGGGGATCGGCAAGGATACAGATGGCGTTTTTCATCTTCAAGTCATGTGAACTTCTTGAATGTTTGTTTACAGTGTGTGAGCTTATATGCGTTTTTCCAAGGCAACCTGCCATTATCAGCGTCGGCACATGTTTGTGCATTATGACATAATGTCTGTTTTTAAAAGTAAATAATGGAAAACTTGGGTAGAGTATAGTTACTTTCCATTGGGTCATAACCATGACCAGGTTAGAGGTAAGTTTAGACACAATTATTGGATGCATTGTAATTTTTCAACTGCAGTAAAACTACGGTGAAAACAACAAAGCTTGGTAAAAAAAAATGTCTGTAAGAAGTGCGACATGTTTATCATCTCATGCAATATTCTTCGTGTTCTTGTATTATTTTTCAACCTTCATATACATCATTTATGTCAGCCGGACTTGGAAAGATCAAACAGGTATATGTGTTCATAATGTATATGTTTTATCCTTACGTTACTCATTTTGGTAGTCTTTCTTTGACCTCATTGTAATGCCGACCATCATAGCGGAGAAGGTATCATCAGTGCATTACTTTCACAATCAAATTTTTGTGCGGCTATAAGTATACCGCACTAATCACCGTTAACTTCCAAAGGAATTATTGTAAGACATGCGCCATGTTTAGAGTCACGTGCGACCCTATTTTTTTCCCTTGTTAAATTTTTGTAATAAAGGTAGGGCTATACGTGTAAACCCTCCTTCTGCCGTATGATGTAAGACCGATTTGGAAGGGATCGGCAAGGATACAGATGGCGTTTTGTCATCTTCAAGTCATGTGAATTTCTTGAATGTTTGTTTACAGTGTATGAGTTATATGCGTTTTCCAAGGTAACCTGCCATTATCAGCGTCGGCACATGTTTGTGCATTATGACATAATCATGTCTGTTTTTAAAAGTAATAATGGAAAACGCGGGTAGAATCGTTACTATGTTCATTGGGTCATAACCATGACCAGGTTACAGGTTACAGGTTATTTTTCAACCTTCATATACATTATTTATGTCAGTCCGATTTGGAAAGATCGGCAGGGATATGTTTTCATAATGTATATGTTTTATCCTTAGGTTACTCATTTTGGTAGTCTTTCTTTGACCTCATTGTAATGCCGACCATCAAGCATCAGTGGAATGAGACTTGACAAAAGTGCTGTTTTATAATTTAAGGGAAAAAAAGCAGAAACCCATCCCGACAAACTAACAGCGCTGCAATACTTAATGAGATAGCGGTGAAGGTATCATAGGTGCATGACTTTCACAATCAATTTTTTTGTGCGGCTATAAGCATACCGCACTAATTACCGTTAACTTCCAAGGAATTATTGTAAGACATGCGACATGTTTAGAGTCATGTGTGCAACACTATATTATTTGTCCCTTGTTAGATGTTTGCAGTAAAGGTGCTGTATACGTGTAAACCCTCCTTCCGCCGTATGATGTAAGTCCGATTTGGAAGGGATCGGCAAGGATTAAGATGGCATTTTGTCATCTCCAAGTCTGTGAATTTTTTGAATTTTTGTTTTGTATGAGATATATGTGGTTTCCAAGGAAACCCGCCATTATCAGCGTCGGCACATGTTTGTGCATTATGAAAACAAGCATTCGAGCAAATAATGCAAAACATGGGAAGAATCATTTAGTTTTCATTTGGCCATTACCATAACGAGGTTACAGGTATAGACGTAATTATTGGATGCATTGGAATGTTTCAACTTCAGTAAAACTTGGTGAACACAACAAAGCTTGGTAAGAAAAAATGTCTGTAAGATGTCCGACATGTTTATTATCGCATGCGATATTCTTCGTGTTCTTGTATTATTTTTCAACTTTCATATACATCATTTATGTAAGTCCGATTTGGAAAGATCGGCAGGGATATGTTTTCATAATGTATGTTTTATCTTGAAGTTAGTTTTTTTGGTATAGTCTTTCTTTGACCTCATTGTAATGCCGACCACCAAGCATCAGTGGATGTGTGCATGACTTTCACAGTCAAATTTTTGTGCGGCTGTAAGTATATACCGCACTTACCGTTAACTTCCAAAGGAATTATTGTAAGACATGTGACATGTTAGGAGTCACGTGCGACACTATTGTTGGTTCTTGGTTGGTTCTTCTCCTAAATACTCCACGTGGGAGTTTATACAGGAGGCCAGAAACACCGGGTCAAACCCCTTCTCTTAGCGATAAGTGTTTACTGGGTTCTTTTACGTGCATTTGTACAACACACGAGACCTACGGCTTAACGTCCCATCCGAAGGACGAAGCAATAATGGTTAAGTGCCTTGCTTAAGAGCACAAGTGTCCGCCGGCGGGCTCGAACCCACGTCACTGTTGCCTCTGAAACACCAGAACGTGAGTCCGGTGTTCTTAACCGCTAGGCCATCGCACTCCAATTGTTCCCTTGTTAATTGTTTGCAACAAAGGTAGACTTGACATATGTGGTTTTATTTAAGGAAAATTAAAAGGGCAGAAACTTTGATAGGGGCAAAATAATAACGCTGCGGTAGTATGAGATAGCTGGGAAAGGTAGTTTTAATATCATCGGTGTATGACTTTAACAATCAACTTTTTTGTGTGGCTGTAAGTATACCGCACTTACCGCTAACCCAAGTTCCAAAGGAATTATTGTAAGACATACGAGTGATGCGACATGCTTCATATTTGCTAATTATGACAAATAATCATGTCTGTTTTTTAAAAGTAAATAATGGAAAACATGGGTAGAATAGCTACTTTCCATTGTGTCAAGGCCATGACCATGGTACAGGTAAGCTTAGACATAATATTATTGCATGCGTTAGAAGTTCAATTCAGTAACAAATGGGCTAGGCCCAGTGTTTTCGTACCCCTGTTCACTTAGGAAAGAGTTGCAGCTTTCATCAAAGAAACCGATGATCTAAAAGTTGAGACAGACTGGATGAGCTAGGCTGCTTTGTCAGGACGAAAATGAACCTCCAAGGCTCCAACAGCCTCATCACACACAAACTCCAGGAACCGGAAGCAGGGAGGAGGACCGACAGATGAACGGATGACCTGCTTGCAGGGCTTCCCATTACTGATTCTTAAGGTTAGTTTATACGCCCTTGAAAATGAGCAGAAGCAAGTCACATAACCAATCAAAAAGAAGATCTGCTGCTCTGTAAGCCTCTGTTGTGTTCTTCCAGAAATAAAGAGTGCTGGTATCGGGGCTTTGCTTTGCCATAGATTCAATCAAAGTTTTTTTCCCCTTCGTAGCATGGGACTACGAAGCACATTTCTTGATAATTCAGATATTCTCTTTCGTCATGTGAAACCTTTTCAGAGAATTGAGGACCACTGACTGACGAGGGAATTGGCCTACTGTGATGGATGAGCCTGCCTCACGACATCGTAAGCTGGGAGGACCGACAGATGACTGACTCTGCCTGTTCAGCATGTCGTTACTTATTCTTGAGGTGAGTTTACTTTAAATACAAAAAGAGCTCAGTGTATGAAGGTTCAAATGTGTTATTCCTCTGCTTGTAGTTTTTCCTCTCCTACAAAATACACAATACTTGATTTCCTCTTTAAATACAAATTGTAAACTTTGCTTGTTTACTTTGTTTGTCATGTTTTAGAAGCTGAGGACCTCCAAGCTTGGATGAGACTGGACAATGACGAAGCAGCTCTATCTGGACAAGGATGCCCCCATCGGAAACTTTTAAAATTAACTTGTAGAATATTGAATGAGAAATCAGACTGTATCTTTGCAAAATCTGAAGTCATTAATATTATTCCAAAGATAAAAAGAATTGATTTTTTTTATTTCACTAAATTATTTATGCCTCTAAAATTATCTTTAACCTGATATTACAATAGATAACTAACAGTGTACTTGATATAAACACGATTTTTAACTTGCTGACAAACTATTGTCATGATATTTTTATTGGCATTTTAACAATGCATGTGTTAGGAATCTGTCCTAAATCCTCCACAATTATTACATCAATAAGATAATTTAATACTTCTTACCTTTAATGCATTAAATCGGATCTTTTTGGTAAATTAAGAGAGCTCTCACTCGGAGGCTGTCTTATTTTTGTTCAGTTTTAATGGAGAATTTTGCTCTTTAAATTTTAACTTGATATTGATAGTGCATTGTTAAAGTTGCCATCAACTTATGTTATTAGAGTTGTAAACGATTCAAAAAGTATGAATTCATTGTTAAAAAAACTGGACAAATTTGGCAAACTGAAGACGTCAGTTTACCTATTACAATTATGTGGTTTTTTACTCATACAAAACTCAGGAATTTAAAACTTTTGGAAAATTTAAAGAGTCAATTGTTCAGGAACTGCTGTCCACCCAAATGTTGGAAAATTTTTAAAAGGTGAATACCCCTCCCCCTCAGTTTTACAGAGGCACTTTCTTCCCAGTCACATACAAAAATGAAATTTTATAAATGATTCTTTTTTTTCATTCAGAAACTCCTTATTTAATGCATTGCAACTGGTAAAACTGGCACTCGAATAACATTTGTGTTTATCCTTTTGTGATATGATTTGATCGCACTTTTTTAATTTACTAACAATTTGTTTACTTTGTGTTTCTTGGTGGTTTAACATGTCTTTTTCACTTTATTAATTGTTCAATTAACCCAACAAAAGGATAAACGCAATGTATACCGAGTGCTGAACTTGCCTCATATCAAAAAATGTATTCACATAATAGCTAAATAAAAAAAATAATAATAAAAGGGCTTCCCACAATCTGTGTGTAATTTTCTTTTTGGGGGCGGGCTATGTCCTTGCTTTTATCTTCCCTATTTATCTAACTTATTCACAAAAAGGGAAATACAAAAAACCGGCTTTACCGTATGCATGTAACTAATCGTTGCTGTACCCAATCATATAATATTACAATGTATTATTAAAGTTGTAAATACGTGCTTTTTCAAAATTTCGCTTTTCTTTTCCGAACGAAATTTTAGAGAACATAATGTCCTGTAACAAATCAATTTGCTTGTTGCAGGCAGTTTTATATAGTTTTAATAAGTGGTTCGAAATGGCGCGCACTATTCATAACGAATTAGGGGTGTCCTGCTCTTAATTCAAAAGTTGACATTTATGCATTGACTTGTCGTGGGCCGATTTTTGATGTCGTGCGATGTATCATTGGAAAGCTTATAACTAATTTAAGGCGAGAACATTTTTAATTGAATTTGAAGATGTATTTGTCAATGTGCTACACCCAAAAAGCACGTAATTATGCCTTTTAACTTCTCAGATTTAGTTGCATTTGTTTAACATTTTTGCAATGAATCAGTTGAGTTTGTTTTGTAATGAATTTAGTTTAAATAGTTTTATGTGAATCAGGTTTATATAAGGAATAAAATAAAAACCAGAAATATGTGAGACGCTTGATATCCTTGGTATATTGTCGTCATTATATTTGCCTCAGTGCTTTTGTTTTAGTGGTTGGGCGGTCAAGCTAGTCGCGCTTAGTAAACTCAGCCCCACACATTTTGTACAATGTATTGTAAAGATCACGTTTGACTTCTCAACTTAAAACGCAGTCATCAAAAGCTAAACATAATAACCCTTTGACAGCGATTGAGGGCGCTCTCTCACAACACCTTGCAAGCTGGCTACGACACGTGCGTGCATGTTCGACACGATCTTTGTGCTGTTGACTGGTGGTTGTTTATGATCGACGACGACGAAAGTGAACCGGTGACGTCAAAAATGAAAGTTGTAGCCCTTGTAAGGTAATGATTTTACAACATTTTACGGCGCAACTGTCCATTGTCACCGGAAAGAATGTTGCAACCTGGCGCTACTTCAGCGGTTGTGACAATGTCAAGTTGTGTACAAAGTCTATGGAGAGTCAGTCAAGAACATTTTTAAGTATTTCCTAACACAGTAACAAAATTGGAAATATTTCTCAGTCCCAGATTCATGTCTTATCATTTTTACAATGACTGACCTTCATTAAGATGATATATGAAAAAAAAAAAAAAGTGTCAGGTTGCAACATTCTGTCCCTGTCACTTAATAATTTTCCCTGAGGGGTGGGGATTTTTGTCACTTCAAACATGTCAAAAGTGACAATCTCCACGTCTTGGGCAGTTTGGTAGTCCAATACTAGGACTCTACAAATCGCTTTTTTTTAAACTATGGATGGACTATCGCTCGACCATCTCCAAATGTTAAAAAAGGGGATTCGTAGAATCCTAGTTACTCGGACTATGTCTTGGGTGGGGCAGCCCGGGGACAGGGGGGGGGGGGGGGATGGGAACAATTGGTAATCCTTACCTTTTAGACCCCGTTCCTATAAAGTTAAATGAATCACCAAAACAGCTGACTAAATGACACTCAAAAGGGACATTCTGATATTTCTTGACACATTTGAACAGTTGGACAAATGTTCCCCCCCCCCTCCCCACCCCCGCTGCCCCAGGTCTGATGTCGGGATTTGGTCACGTTTTTCATGCCCCGTACTATATGGCAAGATGATCACTAGTGCGGCCCATGTATGTATGTTGGGGATCGTCACTTAAATTTTGCCCAAGGGGTGGGGATTTTGTCACTTCAAAAGTGACAATCCCCTGATCTTGGGTGGGGCAGCTGGGGGGGGGGGGGGGAACAATTGATAGGCGCATTAGCACAGAGTTTACTCCAGTCCTTGGTCATAGAAGAGTCATAGCTGATGTTGTCTCGATTGCTGCTATGAAGATTCTCTTGAGTCCTCTGGAGAGGTTTGGTCCTCTTCAGTTCATATCATTGAGCGCTCTCCAGGCAAGACCTTGATGTACCTTGATGTCTTTTTCCGAACTCGCCATTAATGATCCGAGGTACTTGAAGTCATAAAATTGTTTGAGTGGGGTACCTTCGACGGTCTTGAGCGGCTCGTGGTCTGTACATTGTAGGTCATGTATTCTGCTTCGTGGCTTTGAGGTGCAGGCCAACTTTTTTGCACTTAGTACATCTACTCTTAACAGAAGGGCCTGAGCATGCTGTGATTTCGTCTGATAGCAGAGCGATGTCACCCCAAAGTCCAGATCAGATAGTGCCACCGAACGATCATACAGAACTAACGGTAATGCCAAAGAATGGGTGAAATCTGGCCTACTATTTAGACCAAATGCACTCAAAAGACTGCAGTGAATAGCCAATCTGAATCAAATGAATACAATTTATTGTTTGTGCTTGTTTTCTTGATCCTGTTTTTGTTCCAATTTGATCTTAGCGGTGGCAAAGACAGCTGCTATAACATGATGCAGTGTGTAGCAGAAGGTCATGACCTGGTAGCGCTAGCAAACCTCAGGCCAAAACAGCAAGGTAAACAAGATCTTTTTAACCCTAACCCTTTGGGCTCTTTTAGTAGAAAGTATCCTGAATCCGCCAAAATCCATCAATTTTGCCATGCAAAAAAAAATGTTGGTGGCCAGCGAGTCCATCAGAATCCACAAGCTAGGCGGGAGTAAATGTGTTGAGATCCTGAATCCACCAAAGTTCCCCTACAGCTCAATATAGAGGTATCCTGAATCCATTAAAATCCTGCAGTTCCGCTAGGCTTACAATCCTGAACCCATCAAAATCCCCCAGTTTGTGCGATATGGAGGTATCCTGAATCCGCCGAAATCCCCCGAAACAGGGGTGTGGATTTTGATGGATTCAGGTACTTTAGGTTAATGATCTTTTTTTTAATGCAAAGAACTGCTCAAAATATTTCTCCCAACCTCAGAAAATCATCTCCAAAACTATTTTAATGATAAGCTGTATCCTCTCTGAGTGATCCCTGTTTACTTTTTCCAGGTCTGCTGCTTACAGGTAGCATCTTGACTTAGGGCGTGATCCCTGACTATACAGGCTTATGGCTTCTGACTAGCACCCCTTGAACAAATATGTTAACAGAAAGGGGAACTGCCGTCATAAGATCTGGATAGCTCTGTTGGTAGAGCACCGGAATGGCAATCCGGAGTTCACAGGATCAAATCTCTCTTCAGTCAATTTCTTTGTTCAACTTTAAAATGAAAAAATAAATTACGATATCCTTAAAGTACTATATCCTTAATTTTTTTGGAGGGGTTGAAAAGGATTCTGTGGAAAGTAAAGATTGCGGCTAGTGAATTCCACCTCTCTAATTTTTTTCCCCCTGTGTAAATATGATCCAGTCTTTTCAAGTAAAAACATATTATATTCATCGCAAACAGATGTACTTACCAAAGCTCTGCGCTGCAGGAATAAGCTGGTAACAAAATGGCAGGTCGCGTATTTTTGCTAAGGAGGATGTTTTTGTGCATGCGAAATTTCACTGCAATTAGCGTCTGGTCTTGCAGTGTTCGACCTTAACTTTTTTGTTCACTAGCCAGCCGGGCTACTGAAACGGACTCTTAACTAGCCTGCGGGCATTTTCACTAGCCCGCATTTTTTTCTTATCTCAAATACAAAATGGTGTATTTTCAGGCTCAATTCTGAGGCAATTTTGTCAGTGTTTTTAATAAACAAATCTAATAATTTAACCTTTTAAAACAGTTGATAAAACCAGACACAAATTGATGGGGTTTTCTTTCTGAATTTCATGATTTATTTCTTCCTGTCCTTTCATCTGTGCCGTATCCCAATAATTTTTAACTCACCAGCCGGGCTAGTTAAGGAATAGTTTGACTAGCCCGCCGCTGTTTTGACTATCATTTGGCTAGCGGGCTATCGCTAAAGATGAACCCTGGGTCTTGTCAGATAGACCCTACTTGCTAATCACATTTTTGTCTCTTTTTCAGCAGATGAGCTAGACAGTTACATGTACCAGACAGTAGGGCATCATGCCATCCAGCTGTATGCCCAGGCCCTGGGCCTGCCGCTCTACAGGGGTGTCATTGAGGGTTCACCTAAGGAACAAAGCAAGGATTACTCCATCACAGAGGGGGATGAAGTGGAGGATTTGTACAGACTCCTGCACAAAGTCAAGGTGTGTATCAATAGACTGGTCCATTAATTTACCCTAACAGAACTCAACCCATCAAACCCCAGCGGCATCTTTTGTGGTCAGGATGGGTACAGTAACCCTAGACTGACAGTCTTTTACATTGGGTTGGCACGCCTCCAGCATCAAAGTCAGAAATATGTGTGTGCAGTTTCCCATATGGTGTTTGAATTTGCCAGGATGGGTATGGTTCCTAGTAAATCATGCTAGGGAGTTTATGTCTGACCTTCATTGAGATAGAATATGATGAAAAATGTGGCATCAGGATGCAATTTTTTTTTCCGTTTAGAGTACGTTGATGCTTTTTTCATGATTTTTGGTTACACATTAATACAGTGACAATGACCAAAGTTTTGATTATTTAACTGTTATTTGTAACATGTTTGAATTCAGTCTGGTAAACTTTTAGGATTGAAACAAACAGATTTCTTTTTTGAAGAGAGACTTAACAACAATGAATTTGTTGTTTTACAAGCAATCATGGAAAGTTGATATATTCTAAGACGACATTCATGGAAATCCTGCACAGTCTCCCAGTTTGCATTCCAGTTTACTATACTTCATCTTTATGCGTGTACACATTTGCCCCATACCCATAATTGTTGCATGCTCAATACACCATTCATAAATACCTAAGACAGTTTACCCATTCCTATTGGTCGAGAGCCCGTCACGTGGCCGGTCTTAAACGGATATGATAAAGATATGGCTGGCTGGTCTTAAACACTTTTGCAGTGTCACTTGAAATTTGGACTTGAAAATTGGTTGAACGTTCACATTCCTCATCACGTACGTATGCATGAGCAATACTACCAGTGAATCAGTATTTCATAGTCCGAAATTCACACAACACCAGCCCAGCTGCGTTTTGTGCGACATCGCACAGTGCGCGCAACGTGCACTCCAATCTCCTTATAAGGTAATGATTCGTGGAGGGGCATTCCATATTATAGTCAGAGGGGTGTTTAAAAGAAACATAAAGTAAAATTGTTAAACAAAATGTTTGGCAACGTCTAGTTTTTGACTTGTTTTGATTTTTGGACCGAAAAAAATTTGTTTTTTGACCAAAAAGGTATTTATGAATGGGAATAAATATGTGTTTGGTCGGCATTAAACACTCTGTTTAAGACCAGTGGGAGTCCGGATGGGCGATAATTACCCTGCTATTCGCCTCGGGTAATTATCGCCCATCCAGACTCCCACCGGTCTTAAACAGAGTGTTATAATACCTCCCGAACACACATTTATTCCCTTATTTGTGATGCTGGTGTCAAACTGGATGGCTGGAAGGGAGTGGCGTCCCTTGCCTCAACGTAATAACTTGCCAGTTCATTGTAAATAGGCTCTTGAGATGTGTAGGAATTGGTCATGGAAAGCCCTAATGTTATCCTGGAAAAGTCCTGGAAAAGTCATGGAATTTCATATTAAGATTTCTGTTTTTTCCTTCTTTACAGGAAGAGCTAGGTGTAGAAGGTGTGTCTGTAGGAGCCATTCTGTCTGACTACCAGAGGGTGCGAGTGGAAAATGTGTAAGAAACAACTCCTCTATAAAAATCCCATGGATCTCTAAGAAAATATTGCATTGTCACACAGCCTTTTAGATAAAATTTAATGGATCAAACACCTAGATGTTCTTAAGACTGCTTATAATCTGATATATTTTTGGTTATCTTTATCAGGAAGGCTTGCAAGCATAAACATAAGTGGCTATTTTTACGGAAGCCATATTGCATTTTTCAATGGCTATAGTTACGGAATTGCAACATAACATTGGGAATCTATAAGGCTTTCAATTCCCAAAGCGATTGAAGCAATTTTGGTAGCTCAATGGGATAATGCGAGCATTAGTGTCGAATCGGTGAGAATTGTCTTTCTGTAGTTACACAAAAAACTTTTCCTTTTATTGGTTTCAATAAAATCCTACTTTTCATTGAAGAAGATGTAATTTTTCTTTCATATTCATGGCTCTGGAAGAATTTTTTTTTAAATGGAAGTAGAGTCCGAGAATCCTTTGGTCGATAACTGGAAATAATGAAATTTGGGACATGAGTTTGATTAGGGTCTCATGCAGGCCCCCCCCCCCCATATTAACCACAAACTCCAAAATGTTGGCCTAAAATGAACAGTACTGAACAAATCTAAACATTGGCCCGCCAGGATTTGAACCTTGTTCGTAGATTAGAGGTTGCAGGATCACTGTCTGTATCCTAACTGCCCAACACTGCTATTATCACACAGGTGTTGCCGACTTGGGCTTACCCCTCTGGCATTCCTATGGCGCAGAGATCAAGAGGGACTCCTGAAGGAGATGATAACGGCTGGAGTGGAGGCTATCATCATTAAAGTGGCAGCTATGGGTATTTGCTTTTTGAGAACTTCTTGTGTGTTGTGTTTAGTTTGCCTTTGTATTTTTGCCCCCTGAAAATGGATTGAAAAATAATTTAACCCACACAGTTCAATGTCTTAATACACAGGCTAGTCACCACAAGAGTCAGATCATATTTTAATCAAGCACCATGACTAGTCAAATTCAGTCAACAGACAAACACAGGCTAGTGGTAGGTACGGCTGGCTTATCAATCACCTACAGTCAAAGCATAGTTGTATTAAAGGGAAAATACAACATTTGCAAACATCAAAAAATAAAACTACCAAATCATTTTGAAATACCTTGCTGGACTGTTAGTGAATGACAGTGTAAAGCATGCTGTAAAATCATGGCACCTGGTATACTGTCATTTTCAAGAAAAGTGGTATTTTTGTATCAATTTCCAACGCTGATCGGCCGACCAGCGTTGGAAAAAACTGGTTTTTTTTTCAAATACTGGCCCCAGTTGACCATCGCACTTGTTTGCAATCGATTACACACCTATGAACGGGTACAAGCCAGCTAGACTGGTTCCCTGACCTTACAATTCCCCAATGTATGTAAACTGCTCTGTTTCTTCTTAAATGGAGTCAGGGAACCAGACTACAGGAAAATGATTGTTTTTCTTGGTTTTTATAGCATTTTCGAACCCAAAACCTCAAAAAAGTCAGTGTAACTATATTTGCTATATATTTCCAACCCCCCAATTCCATCCATTTCTGAAAATTACAGCAAAAGCAAATGATGTATATTCCCTTTAAGTTATATTAACAGTCACAGCCAGTCAATCCTGCTTTATGTTGGCTTGGAGCTCTTAACTGTTGAAAACAGTCACTTGATTGATTTTGACTGGAAGAACAACTACGCACAGAATGTATGTTTGCATGGGAGGGTTAACCCTAACCATCCTCAATCCTTCCAAATCTTCCTGGCAGTTTTGGGGGATTTTGGAAGATTAAGGCTCATAGGCAAAACTGTCAGTTGATTTGAAGGATGCATTGTGTCGAGTTCGTAGGCTGCACCCGGCATTGTTTATGTTGAGCCATGCATAATGAGCCCTGCATTGTGCTCGATATTATCCGCACTGTTTCTTAATAGCGATTGTTGGAGGATATTAAAGGATTGGAAATGATCACCCCCTCCACCATGTCTACTGAGTAAAATTCAAGAAAAAAGTGGATGATTTTGGAGAATTGAGGGCTTAATCAATTTTTTACAAGGTGGCAATTGGAGATTTTGCAGGATTCTGAATGGTTCCATTCAGCATGCAATTTCTTTTGTTATCGCAAGTGTTGTAAATTTTTTTATTTGCTATATAGGCTTGGACTCAAGGCACCTTGGAATGACACTACAGGAGATACAATCACACATGCTGCGCATGGTCAGTACCTAATACAGGAATAAATTAACTGGTTTCTAAAAGATGTGAATGCAAACTGTGTGTTAACTATTTCAAACAGGCAAAGTCCACGTATGGACTAGAAACAGTTGGTAAACTTATTTTGATGCTATGCATACAACTTTTATTTTCATTTCAACTTGATTTGATGGATTCATATTGTTAGCAGAAAACTTTAGAATCTTCCTTTTTATTTTGAACTAGTGATGCAAAATGCAAATTATATTTTTTTAAATTCAGCTGTAAACGAAAGTAGCACATTTAGTACCATGATCCGTACTATGTAAAATATTTTGTTTACTTTTTCTTTCAACAGCAACTTTTTGACATGATGTGACAAAGTTGCATTTATTTATTGTTTGAATGTAGATTCGTGTGCTATAATTGATTTATTCATGTGTTTCCTACTTTGAATCAGCAATTGCCGATCAACAATTTTATGTTCAATACTGGCTTCTTGGGTTCTTGCATGCAAGTTTTCAAGAATAATACCGGGAAAATTGGATTTGGCAAAAATTTATGTTGCAATTTTGACACCTACTTTGAGAGGAAATGTTAAGGAAAAAATGTTGCAACCTGACGCTACTTCGGCGGTTGTGTACAAAGTCTATGGAGAGTCACGAAAACTTTCTAAGTATTTCCTAACAGAATTGGAAATGTTTCTCAGTCCCAGATTCATGTTTTATCGTCATTTTTGCAATGACTGACCCTCATGGAGACGATATATGAAGAAAAAAGCAGTGTCAGGTTGCAACATTCTTTCCAATGTTAATAATCTAAACCTAATAATACTTGAACTCTGATGTGAAAGCATTTGTGTCGGACATCTGATGGCTAAGGATAGTGGAGTGCCGTGGCCTCGTGGTCTGGAGCATTGAATTTGTAGTCTGCAGGTTGTAGGTTCGAGCCCAGCCTGCCACTGTAGTGCGTGTGCCCTTGGGCAACGCACTTTGTCACTCATTGCTTCTCCCCACCCAGGAGTAAATGGGTACCTGTGAGGGCAGAGATGGTTACTGTGATTGATTTAGCTGTTTTGCGCTGAAATGGCAGCATCAAGCTGTATACTCCCCAGGGAGCTGTGATTGTCTTTGGAATGTTTCATTGGCCAAATACTATTGGATACGTGCACTTGATAAATTATTTACCATTACTGTGTTGTTATAGTCATTAAAGGGCTGGTTAGGTCTTTACATTGGCTCCCATTCTCAAATTGTCTAATTAAAACGCTTTATTTGTCACACATTTGTCAATCAAATTCAGCCTTATTATTCAGTGTTTCTTATAGTTGTGATTTTTTTCTATTTCGTTGCAGAAAGAGAAATACCAGTTGAATGTCTGTGGCGAGGGTGGTGAGTTTGAGACGTTCACACTGGATTGTCCACTCTTTGCCAAGAAATTGAAAGTGTAAGCTACATGTTTATTGAACAAATGTTGACTGCTTTGGTGTGGGACATTTAACAATTGTTGACTGCTGTGATGTGTGATATGGTGTTTTTAACACCTGAGGGTGCATAGCACCTGAGCTTTGCTGCCAGGCTTGAGATTGAGAGGTCGCAGTTCTCTGTTGCGAGGCGTGAGCCGCCCTGCACACGGACCCTACATGCGCGCGCAAGGCAGTCTATGATTTACATGCAACGCAGTGTATATGAGATAACTTGTGTAATGCAGTGTATGGGCTCAATGCACAACTACCCTCAACAGTAAGAAGGGGAGAGTTGGGGAAGACCACTGGGAGAGACATTCGAATGCATTGCTGACGACACCTGAAGCTTGTGTGAAGACGCTATGTTTTTTTGTGCACATTCAGAATAAAATATGTTGTGTGCACTTCACGCTGCACGCCTGCGAACCAGTACGCGCACATGGTGTGTCCCATCCACGGGGCTCTCGAAAGTGGTAAAAAACTGCCCTCTCTTGTTCACGCACAGAGCCCATATGAGGTACTGAATGTGCAATGTAGTGTTTATGAAGTAAACACGTTTAAGACTGGACATGGGGCTATTCTAGACCAATGAAATTACCCCCTCGAGACGTATAGCATCCTCGCCATATCCCGCAATACAGCAGTCAACAATTGTTTTGTTATACATGTATATCCTGCCAATAAATCCAAAAAATGTAACCTGCTTCACAAGAAATGAATTAAATTTTTCTTTTTTTAAGGGTAGCCTGAGATTTCTGAAAGCTTTCCTGCCAGACATGAAATTCTCCTTCATGCACTCAACAGGGAGACCTGTGAGAGAATTTTTGCAGGATAATAATGATTTGTGACTTTATATTACATACAATGTACATAGCCATTCCAAAAGCTGTTATCAACATATTACCTCGTTTATTAAGATAGAAGAGATTTGGGCAGCTGCACAAAGTTTCCCTAACAAAATGAAACTGCACAATAAGTTGAGTGACAAGTTTTTCACATTAAATATGAATTTAACTCTAGTTTATGTTGTTTGTGTGTTTTGTATCTTGTCCATTTCAGTAAACATCAAGAAATGGTGAATCACAGCGACGATGCGTTTGCACCTGTGTGGTACCTCAATCTTCTTGGTATGGAGTTGGAGGAAAAACAGGTTTGTAATTAAAGGACTGTTGCAGGGCAATAAAGCTGGAAAATTGGTCCACTTAAATTAGTCCGGCCAGTTGTATAATTTTTACAAGCACAGTTACGGGTTCTGTTACAAGTTCTGTCTTGAAATTTCAAATTGTAAATTTCACCAACTTTTTAACAGCATACCTGGGAACGACACTGATTCATTTCTAGACATGATGTTCATTGCCTTTCAAAAGCAATCTCATCCTCTTAAAAAAAATCTCAAAGTTTTTGTTTAACCATATCTACCCCAAATCCTTCAAAATCCATCCTTGGGCATTTGCGTGCTTAGTAACTCCTTGAAATTGGCCCATTTATTTGCAGTACACATTGTATTTTGATGGTTTCTCTTCTGTAGAGCTAAAACACTTATGGGCAATTCCACGGTTACTCACGTTACATTTTTGATCTACTTTTGAGTTTCCTTGGGCTGTAATTACATTACTGAAAAGGTTTAACAACTGTTATCCCCATGGTAGATAGAGTAGACCTAGACCTACCTAAGCACCAAAGATGACATCCAGAAAAATGTGTTATGTATGATAAACAAGACGCACAAAATCGGTTACTTATGTTACGAAAATGTAACGTGAGTAACCGTGGAATTGCCCTTATTACTTTACATAGGGCTTGATGTACAGAGAATCCAACATTGTTTACTGCATATAGGCTGGTTCACACTCAACGCAAAAGCGAAAGGCAAATGCAAATTTCTGGTATCGCGACAAGTTTTCAGCCAAGAATTTACAATAGTTGAACACATTTCAACTCCGACGAACTTTGCAGCAACTGTTTCATGATGTCAAATTTGATTCGCATTCACATGAAGTATAATTTGGCCTTATTTGTGCAAAATCAGGAAACTTTCTTACAAAAAGGCCTTGGGACCTTAAGGGTTTTTAATGCCGATATTACAATTAGAACAAAATGGCTGATTTTTGGAACCTTTATGGATGTGAATTGGTCTCTGAATTACTTTAATTCCATTATTTGCTTTAGAATGTTGCGGAAGCCTTTGCTGATAGGTTAAAGGGCATTCCCATGAAGCGAGGCTCTGACCTTCTCCAAGAACTTGAGGATTTAATGGATGAGGAATCACAAGGAAATCCACCGTGTCCAGTGGAAGATAGCAATCCAAATGAAGACTCAAACAGTACATCCGATGTTGGTAAAACAAAACATTTTTGTGCAATAGTTTTTTTTTTATTTCTTGATCTTTTTCTACACTAACACTTTAACAATTCACGTAATTATGGCAAAATGTTTTTTAGAACTTCTTCTGTAGGTAAATAAGGGTTTGTGGGTATTTGGAGAGAGAATAATCATCCTTATATTATCCTTAATAATCATCCTTACCATACTGTTTGTTGTACCCGAGTCGGACATTCCATTGATAAGTTGTGGCTGTTTGAAGTTCGCATTTATCAACATGTCAAAAAAGGGTCTTTAAAGTTTCGAAATTTTTATTCGTAAAAATAAAAGATGCCAATTGTTTTCCCTTTTAACACTTTTAATCTTTTATTCCGCAATTTTTATACTATTTCTTTAAAGAAAATATGCTATTTCTTAAAAAAAAAGACACCCATTTGTTTTTTTGCCTGTACCCAGTTCCATCCCATTTTGCCAGAACGCCTCACATTTATAAGACTGATTCACCCCCAAAAATCTCAGTAATACGACAATTTTTATGTTACATTCAATAAGGGTAAAGGTTGAGGGTTACTGAATATGTCCAGTGGGTAACCTGCACGAACTTTAGACGGATGCAAATTACTTATAGCTGTACTTTGAATTAACGTCAATTTTTTTTTTCAGCAACAGTTACATCATCTCCAATTTGTAAAATCTCCAGCGAAGGTTACATGTGGGTCTCGGGGCTAACGCCATCACGATCGGATGGGTGGACAATTATTGAGAGTACAGAGCAAGCAATGGAGTCTCTGAAAGGTAAGGCTTGTGATGGGTGTTTTTGTGTGAGACTCAACCACTTACTATTGGACAAAATGTTAACCACTTGATACCACAAACGTTGGCTGGGATTTGCCAGTTCACATCTGTTATAGCAGCGAGTACCACAAACACGTGTGTTTTTAAAAGAGCAAAAAATCCTGTTGTTTTGATGCAGAATTTCATCATGCATTGGAGTCAGGTTGGCACAGTGGTTCTTTCCTCGCCTTCCACCTCTGTGGCCCGGGTGCGATTCCTGCCCCAGCTGGTCTACATGTGGATTGGGTTTCCAGTCCCTACCTGATTCCGTGTGTTTTCCATAGAATATTCTCTGGGGTTTTCCTCCCACCTCTAAAACTGTAATTCCTTCCCACTGTCTTGTCGCTACTGGTTTCTTCAGGCTTGCGAGCTACAGTGCCTAGGGCGCTTTTGAGGAATCCTTGGTTTTATTACCAGAAATAAATAAATAATAATAACAAAAGTAAACATTTAGGTTTAGCTTCATTAGCCTGTAGGAGTGTTTTCAATAAAATTCACGTTTTTCCCAGCTTTTTTTCTGGTGACTTTTTCAAATAGAGGTTAGCTAAATTGATCATCTATATTTATGATTAAAATGTTTTAACTTTTTTACAAATTCATTGCGCAATGTCTTCTAGTTAAGTATATATCTTGTATTTGTGCATCTTTTTAAAAAGTTTCTTTGCTCATTCAAAATACCAATAAAAACATACTGACTGAAATACTATATTTTTATCTCAGAATGTCTAGGTAACCATGGATACGACCTCCTGGATGTTGTTATAGTTCACGTGTATGTCAAGGACATGTCCAATTTCTCCCAGATCAACTCGGTGTATTGCAGATACTTTCAGCAAAATCCCCCTGCAAGGTATACATGGATATATAGATGCAATCTGGACACAGATCCGCTGTACACTCACAGTGTCCCCCAGTAATGGCAGCAAATCATTGTGTCAGCTATTGTTCAGAGTAATTAACATGGAGGTGTTGTTTTAACCATTTCCTTACCATGTGTGACTTTTGTCCACAAGGGACTACCCCCTGCTGCTTACCAAAGGCGACTTTAGTCGACCAGGAAACCACACACCTAACACCCTCAACACAGATTTATTCACTGCTTTTCAGCTAGCTGGCATGTTGGTATGATTTGCTGCCCATACATCAACCATATACCAGCTGAAAGAGTTTTGTTTTCGGATCGTTCTGATGGTTTAGTTTGTTCATAGTGTTACCATTACAAAAATTTAAGACAAGTGCTTCAGAAGTATCCACGCCCAATTTGAGGTATGGAGTGCCATTTAGTCATGTAGTTAATGGCTTGCAGTTTGATAACTGGGACCAGATCAGCAAACAGCCATAACTTTCTTATTTTTACACATGTGGCCTTGATTTTTACATCACATAAAAGACTTATTCTCATTGTCTTCTTCGTACAGGTTTCTTTTGGCTTTCGAGCTACAGTGCCTGGGGCACTTTTAAGGAATTGTTTTCAACACCAGAAAGATATAAATATAAAAATATAAAATAAAAATGTTGGCGCAAATTTTCTGCTATATTTAGCACAACCTCTCTGCATACAGTCATGCAGTGTCATGAACTTGTTCTCTTGTATGTCCCTTAGAGTCTGTGTTCAAGTTGACCTGCCATGTGACACGGAGCTGCAAATTGACTGCTTGGCGCACAGAAATATCAGTCGAAGAAAATCCAGCAATGATGACGTTGAAGTAGAACCGGTGCACAGACACACCATGCATGTACGGAGTATATCCCACTGGGCACCGGCTAACATTGGACCATACAGTCAGGCTGTTCAGGTAGGAGAATATTTAACGCAAAAGAGAGTGGGCCATTATTTTTGTTTTTGGAGTATTTCTGTATTTTTATTTTGATAATTTAAGAAAGCAACTTCAACAATATCTACTGTGGTATCATATTTTATCTTCTGAATAGATCGGTGATCTCGTTTTCTCGGCAGGCATGATAGGCCTATGCCCCAGCACCATGCGAATCGTAGAGGGCGGTATAACACCGCAGTGCGCCCTCTCATTGCGCAGCTTACAACGATTACTGATGGCCATGCACCCGGGAGCATCACTGAGCACTGTTGTCTGTGGTGTGTGTTACGTGACCGACAGTCGGCATATAGATGTTGCAAGGAAACACTGGGAGAAATTTGTTAAGGAGGTTTGTGTTAAACTGATGACCAAATTGGTTAACTCTTTGCCATGAGTTGACGGAATTAAAACACTATGCTGTGACACACTCCATAGTTGTGTCCCCCCTGCTCTTCAACAAATTCCATTTATTTTTTTTTCCATTAACAAATTTTCATTTTGTTTGTTTAGTCTAATCAAAAATCTTCCTCCCCCTTTTCTTGGACGTCTGCAACAATGTGAGAAAAAGATTTTGTTTTGGGCACAAATGTGACTTTTTTTAAGAACACAAAACATATAGGTATCAACTGCAAAAAAAGGCAAAACGTGCGATTTGGGGATCACCTTTTTTTCTCTAAAATATGTAAGTAAATTACACTTTTACAAAATGAATGGGGCAGTACAAGTACTAGTACTCGGAATCATTTAAGTACAAAAAAAGAAGAAACAGACTTTTCACCAAAATAAATGTCTAAATTTCAAACCAATTTGCCCCACCCATTCTACATACTAAACTCACTGCCCCCATCACACTTCTCTTAACCAACACAACTTTCAGCCAATTACAATATGTTCGTAAAATAGACCCACCCAGAATAAGCTCTCCTACTTTACAACACCCACTTTACCCCAATCCTCCGCATCCCACTAACACACCCCACCCCAGCAACCCCATTCCACCTTGCATTTAACTATTCATTCAGATTTCCGTTTCCAATTGTTTTCCTTTTCAGGGGCATTCCCGTTCCGTCCGAGCCCACAGTGCGATGAGCTACGTAGTGGTGCCATATCTTCCTAAGGGTTGTCTTGTGGAGTGGCAGGTTGCGGCTTGTGTCGACTCGGAATCATGGCAAGGTTAGTCCAATATGTGAATTTTTTCATCGTAAGTTATTTAGTTCCCTGGTTGAGTTGAGTTCAATGCAACAATTGCTTGGTGCTGGATAGATAGAATTGAAACCTTTTAGTAGGAAATGTTTTTTTAACAAAAAAATTGGCGTATGTTTACAAGACTTCACAATGCATTTCTGTTTGATATTAGGTGTTAACAGTAACAGAAGTATGTTTAATTAAGAGAATAAATGTGTGCTTGGCCAGTTTTAAACACTCTGTTTAAGACTTCAACCGGTCTTTAATAGAGTGTTAAATACCGGCCAAGCAAGTATTTATTCCCATTCATAAATACCTTTTTGGTCAAAAAATTGTAAACTTTTGGGTCCAAAAGTCAAAACAAGTCAAAAATTATAGATTTCCAATGATTTTTAAACAATTTCACTTCTGTTGCTATATTGTGGTAGTGTCTATGTGGTAAACAACTCCTTATATGGAAATTGGCGCACGCGTCACACGTAATGCGTGATGTGGCGCAGAACGCAGCTGTGCCGGTATAGTGTGAATTTAGGACTATGAAATACTGACTCACTGGTAGTATTGCGCATGCCTATGTGAGGATTGTGAACGTTCAACCAATAAAACGGTGACTAAAAGGCACATATTTCCGGCTGTGAAATCAATCTCTGACTGTGCTCCGTGGTCAGACATGGGTAAAGCAGCTGCCTGAAGGCACCTTTACATGCCTTCAGCTGGACCACGTTGTAGCCGCATCCTTTGCAATTCAGTTTCTCAGCTGCGAGTAAGGGTGATTAGCCCCCCCCCCCCCCAAAGTTATTGGTAATTATTATATTAGTTATTACTGTACACTGGAGCTCTCATGTGTAGCCATGAAGTTCTTCGTAGACTGAACCCATAGTCCATCATCCATGTTTATGCTCTTTTTTTGAGGCCAAAGCAGTCTTAGTTAATCAACCCACCTGGCCAAACTTTCTGTGGTGCTCATTAATGCAGGTACAAGCAAGTCTGTACAGGGCAATGTATCAACCTCCCAACTGGAGATCAATATAGACGGTACGAAATCATCAGGGTTCATCATTTGCAGTAAGTCAACAATTTAATTTTATTCATAAACATTTTCATTTGGTTTCACGAAAGAAATTGGATTGTTGTTTACAACTGTTTGCACAGTTGCTTTTTCCTCCTGACATGATTTAATATCATAATAGTGCTTAGCCCATGATTTACACGCATGGAATCATTCTTCTTTTCCGCGCAAACCAAAAGCAGTAAGCACAGCGGAAAACGTTGCGACCATGGAGTGAATATTGGTTTAATTTTTTTAGAAAGTGATGCACCGTCAAAATGTCCCCCAGAGTAAACAGTGTGCAAAATATAATCACACAAGGAACATTATTTTTATGTTGAAAACCTTTTCTATTGAAATAGAAGAAAACTGCTGTAAACTGCTTACTGACTGGATTGACCTGATATATACAAATAAACCAGTTAGAGGACCAAACGTTTCGATCCTATCAGGACCTTTTTTCAATTTTTTTGATTTTTTCCCTCTTGTAAGAGTTGCAAGCACTAACGTACAGTGAAGGTTAGAGCAGCATTTGTATTTATTGGCATTCGATTTGTGTGTATTCCAATTCATGCAGGCATTACACCAAACATGTCTTCAGAGCTTCAACTCTTAGCGGTAAATCTACTAGATACCATGGGAGCTTGCTTAAAGGAGCAGACGTCTTCCTGGGATAGGGTCCTCAGTGTGCGTGTCTTCTACAAGCAGTCGGTGGTTGCCCGCGGACAGCTGTTAAATGGTAAGCAAGTGTTTTGTTGTAAAACAGAGAAATGAAGTGCCAGTAGGGATGTTAATCCCAAAGAGAGAATGTGTACCTCACAAAGTTTGTTTGGGGGGGGGGGGGCGGGCTGGGCTTTGAGATCCCCCCCCCCCCCATTTCTGCACAGAGTACGTATCCATGCCGATTATCATAATTAAGATGTCCTGTAAACTGTAAACAATGCAAACAAGTAAAACTATGGATATTTTATGTCATCTTTGTAAAGTATCCATACCCTTTACTGGGAGTGGCTTGAGCTGCAAAGATTTACCCATTGGCCCTTGTACCGCCCCAAACCACGCTGCCAGTTACTCCTCATACCGCCCCAGACCGCCCCAGCACTCTATGGTTTATGGATTCATGGAGGAGTAAATACATTGTAATACAATTTAAAGGGAAAATACAACATTTGAAAACATCGACAAATAAAATTAAAAGTTTTTACGAAATACCTTACTAGGATGTTGGTAAATGAGAGTCTAAAGCATCCTGTAAAATTATGGCACCTGTTGTGAAGTCATTTTCAAGAAAATTGTATTTTTGTATACATTTCCAACGGTGGTCGGCCGACCACCGTAGGAAAAACTTTACCATTTTCCAACTACTGCTCCAAATTACCCATTTGTTTCAGTCCAAATTTTGTTTGCTATTGGTTACATGTTCATGAATGGGTGCAGGCCAGCTGGACTGGTTCCCTTACCTTACAATTTTCCGGCATCTATAAATTGATCCATTTCATCTTTAGTGGAGTCAGGGAACCAGACTACTTGAACATTTTTGTTTTTCTTGGTTTTTCCAGCATTTTCGAACACAAAACCTCAAAACATGTCAGTGTAACAATATTTGATCTATTATATTAACCCCTCAAATAGTTCATTTCTGAAAATTACAGCGAAAGCCAATGATGTACATTCCCTTTAATACAAGTGCTAAAGTACTGGTTGCACTTTTTTATGTAAAAAGCAATAATTTGTGTAAAGAGCTGGTTGCGTTTACCAGAATTGTTGTGCATTTTTGATTGAAAGAGAAATCTTCAGTTTGATTTAAAAGCTGTATGGTCATCGCCGTCAACTCACGCATGGCCCAAATTTTGGATTAAGTTCTGAAAAAAAGTATCCAATTCAAATTCATGATGTTTAGAAAAAAACATCCGTCTTCCTCAGAAATTATTGGGGGTACCGGTAATTTCAAAGGCAAAAACTAAAACTGAAAGGCCTCACTGTAAATTATTCTGTGTGAAACCTTAGATGCCTTAGCCATCATTCTTGCACAATGCCAGTAATTGCTTTGTATGATCGCATTTGTTTTGTGAAAATCAGTGTCTTATTTGTTAATTTGTATGCTGAGGATTAAGGCTGAATCATTTTTTAATTACCGGGTAGCTCCTCAACTCAAGCAGTTTTCTCCTCAATTCTGGTCTTTTAACCCTAACCTTTCCAAGTCCATCAATATCCACCTATAGTAGTGGTGGTCTTGTGGATTTCAGCGGATTTGGTCCTAAAGCATTATGTGAAGCAGGGTCAGTGATGGATTTTGGCAGACTTGGTCCAGTACTTAGTAAAAGGCACTAGGGAGTTGGGGTTAAAAACATGTTTTTTGTTTTTCTTCTTTTTGACCCACAGCACTGACAGCAGAATTAGAAAAGGCATCATCAGCAATTCCTGCCTTATGTCTGGTACCTGTACTCTCTCTACCAGGTTCGTGTGTCATTACAGCTCTGGCATTCCTTCAGATGTAACACACGGATCAAGTGACATTGACAGATAACCAATAACAGGCTGTGAACTCCATGTGTGAACAGAAGGCGGTAGCTGAGAGCCCTGGTACTGGTTCTTGCACGTATGGTGTGAAATACGCACAATTTGGGCGATTCACAATGTAGTGCGCCACCAAGAGTTTGTCGCGGAGAGAGTCCATTAATTTTTCAAGTTTACGGTCGACAAAACACAGCCCATTTGAACGAGTGTCAGTAGACAACTTGAGCTAACTTGTTATAGATTGGGGCATAGCGTTCTGCCGCCTTAAAAAAACCCACCATATTGATAAAAAGAAAAGAAAAGGGCAAACAGATACTTGAATCATACGCTTACTAAACTACTGACCGAAAAAAAAACGAACGATTTCAAATGTCACGCGCTGCGAATTTGTTGACCATCTCCCACAATGCACTGGGAAAAATTAACTCTCCGTAGCAAACTCTTGGTGGCGCAATGCATTGTGAATCGCCGAATTAATCTACGATGGCCTCAGCCGAGCTCTATGTCTGGTCTGCAAAAAAATTAATACTCTTAAAAATCTCCAGAGGAACAAATTACACATCGACTGCAGTAAAAAAGGCAAGTCAGACGCCCAGCTGCTTAAACTGTCCCAAATACTTTTATTTATTGACTAGTAGTGAAAAAAACCACAGTGAAGCGAGTATTATCGATCACAACAAACTACACTCTGAAAAGGGCCACAAGAAGCAAAGTAAAATGTGTGTATTATTATAAGCGGTAAATATCTACCCACTCTCTACATGTGAATTATGTGTAAACTGAAATGGTATAAATAATCATCCATGGAATATAAGTTCCAAAAATCTTCTTTTTTTCACACCCAAAATAGCTGTGAATTGTGTTGGAAAGCAGCTTTGTAAATTTTAAGGGCATTATGGTACCCTTTTCACAATGAATGTTTTGAAAACTTAAAATGTTAGTTCCAGAGAGATTTATGTTTCGCTCTTCCCTGCAATCGACATACACATAGCAGCATGCACATGATATACAGCCCCACCCCTCTTCCCCAAAACAATATAATTTATCAATTCAACAATTGTTTCAATTAACATTGCGTTTTCTGTACAAGTAGAGAGTTGTTTTTGAAGTCACAATCACTGAGAAAAAATGACAATCATTCTTTCTACATCTATACAACATTTTTTTTTAAATCAATTTTTTTTTGCAAAGATGAACCATTTCAGAATAAAAAGTTTCCATAAGCAACTAATGTAGTCACTGGTTACTTTTGAATTGAAAATTGCAGACAGTTACATCAAAAATGTACATTCCTAAACACTTTGTGTTTCTCACTAAAAAGCAATTCAAGCGAGGAACAGACAATAAAAAATAACGGGGCAAGCCAAAAGAGGATCCAACGCAAACTGTTACATCTTTGTTTTCTACATGGCAGGATCCATCACAAGTCAGTTTCAAGTAACAGAGATTGAACATTTACAAAAGAATGTCTTAGTCATAGTTCAATTGAATGGCTTGTCATTTACTCGACTTGGAACTTTATGACTGTGATTGACTTGTGAGGACCAAATGCACTGTTGCTTGGAAGTTGATATGTCAAGACACAAGTGTTCAAAACGAAAGTCAGGCAAGATCATGTCGATGGGACAGTGAGTTCCAATTAAAGAAAAATATGTTTGAGCATTTTTGTGATCAATGACAAAAATATCACTTGTGGTCACAGTTGTCTGATGACTCGCACGCCGAAGATGTTATCAGAGGTGCAGACATAGACATACTTCAATGAAAATGACTTGAAGCTTTCATATTCCCATAGAGACTAGATTTTTTCTTTTTTTCTCTTCTTCTTTTGTCTGAGCATATTCGCCCTGAACAAGGCTAAAAGCCACAACAGGTTTAGGGCTACAAGAGACATAAAAAGAAGAGTATATAAGTACTCCGGGAAAACTGACGGTATAGGAATCAACATTCCCCTTGAAACGGATGAATGAAACAAGTTTTCATGTCCAAATCTAAGAGATACCCTTCATCACTTTCTTTAAAAAAAATTGCACCTGAACCAACGACATAGGATAAAATGAAATTGTTTTTTTCTTTGTAATTTCTTTTAAATTGTTGCTAAACAAAGGATCATGATAATTGCTGCTGCATTTGTCAAACCATGCCTTGGCACAAACACTTCCCAATTTTTTAAAATATTCTTCATGTACACAACAAGTCAGGTTTGCGTTGTTTATCTTTCACTGACTATACCCCCTCTAAGGATTTTTTTAAACGTTCACGACACAATCAACAAATTAATTGCCAACTTGTATTATTGCCTTGACACAAAAGTTTATAGCCATCATCAGATGGCTATTAATAACAAACCAGAAATCATTGGCTATTTTACAAACAAGATATCATTTTTTTTTTCAAGTTGTTTAAGCCGCCATCATATTAAGAAATTGTTAAATATATATAACAGATTAAATGAGGTATATCTAATAAACAGCCAAAAGAGGAATCAACTGTCCATTTTTCAATTTTTTTTCTTCAAATATTTTGCACACATACCAAGTACAACTAATGTTAATTCATGATACTGAAAACAAGCTACGTGTATAAGTGCCAAATCCCTGGCGAATTTCTTAAATACGTGACTTTTTCGGAGTAAATATTCCCACTGCCTAAACTTAATTTTGAAAAAAATTTTTTAAATGAACTAGTATGAAACATATCTGCCTCATTGGTAAAATGCCAGTAACAAAAACACAATTGGGGTGGACACAGATGTTGGAACACATCCTTACTGGAACAATAGCATAATGATATTTCCACCGACATCTTTTTAGTCTTTTATGACCTATTGTAGACAAAGTTTTCAAGTATCTACTTGTATGCAGCCAGGAATGCATAAAAACCTATTCACCATGCCAATCACAGATCTTGGGTTTAGTTTTTTTGCGTGATCTGTAGTAGGAAATGGCACAGCCACAAAAAATTCTCAGCCAATGGCCGGAGCTTTAACAGGCTTCTTGCATGACCACTTTAAGAAAGCTAACCTGTGATTGGTCAGTTTTCATGCCCAAAATGTGTCATAGCATGTGTTCTTGAACTGGCAATCATGGAGGTAGGCAGGCATTGAAAATATGATGTAATCATTGGCTAAAAAATAACAAAACTACCCCTCAAAAACAAACTAACATAAGCCTGCCCATAAAAAAACCATTCACATCGGATACTCAACGATGGGGTTATTTTTTGACTGATTATGCACTGCCTACATGTTTTTTGCCCTAAATGAGCATAAGTGGGGTTGGAAACTCACATGTTGAAGGAAATACAAAAGTACAGTTTTTTTTTGCTCTGAATTGGAGTACAAAATAACCCTGGAATGAATAAGAGTATGCGGCAGTTTCTTTTTTAACTCAAATGAATACTCCACTGCTACACACGGAATATACATAACCGTAATTCAAAACAATATGATCAATATTAATTTACAAACAAACGTAAACACTTTTAGGGCGGAGATAGGTGTATAAATTCATTTTCTGTATTCAAATATGTTCAACCTTTTTACTGGACTAGATATGGGGAAATATCTTAAACCATTAAATAATTTTTGTTAATATGCAGGTTATTATTTTCGATTTAGGAAAAGGATTGATAGTTTTATCAAATGGTTACAGGACTTTCATTTAAAAGACAAACAAAGTTGTCATTAAAGGCAAGTTTATTTTAACTTGAGCGATTTTTACAAGCATAAGAATCAAAACAGCTCATTATGAGAGGTTTATTATATATATATATATTTATATATATATATATTAAAACCAAGATAAATATTAGTTTTAAACTCTTCAAATGCTGCATTGTTGAAGTGATGTCTCCATAAAACAAACCCATAAAAATATTTGTTGTATTTAAAATAAAACAACATAATTGCTACAAGATTTGAGTATCGCACCCAAAAAAAGGTTTTGACATCACCGTCATGTTCATACTTAAGTTGTCATTAAAGAATATTGTATCATGCAGTTGGCATTCTTCTATTTGTATACAAGTTTTTCATAGATATTTCTTTCACCAACTGCGTGAGGAAATTCATATTTTTTTGGGGGGGGGGGGGGTAATTTAACCACATAGATTGTTGCAATTTTTTCATACCCCCTGACACACTGTGAGTGTTAAGTCTCAGAAAATTATGTATACGTATAAATTTCCACCCCAACCATTTGTTTTTTCTTTGTTAGCAATATCACATTTGAGATGTTATACTCATGCACATTCAGACATCTTAAATTATCGCCATGATAAATTAATCACAAAATACACTTCCATAAGGACATACTGGCAAGGGGAAGTATAAAAACAAACTTGTAACGTTGGCAAAAAAATGTCTGGTTTCAAGATAATCGTCTGGCCAGCTTTTTGTCATGGGCTCTGTTTTAACATGTCGTAAATTTCCCCCTTTTATAAGATGACACAAATTTGAGCAACGCCCCTTAAATAAAGAAGGGGTTTGATGAAAGACATGATTAAGAGTAACAGCTAAATGATCAACAAGTCAATTTCAAATGTGCTGATTGCACTGTCTTGATGAGCATCAAGCACAGCACACGTTTGAGCGCTTAAATGTTGATTAGAATAAAGTCTACAACTTTCCTGAACAAGTGTGGTTGCAAAACCTGCTCTGAAATAGACTGATTCATTAAAAAAAAATGACATCAGGCTGACAGTTAAGAACAAATTTCAAAGATGTTTTTCACAAACGTTTGAAATACACTGAGAAACAGCGCCGCTACAAATGTCCAAACAATCATCGCCTTGTTTTTTTTTTTTACACTCATGTATGACCAGTTGACCACTGTTACAAGTTTAACTGTTTTGAAAAAAACCCAGTTATTTGTTGCACCTCTAACTCTACATAATATACAATGTACAACACTCAGGAAAACGCTTGAAAAATTGCGTCAATAAATATTGGTTAATGCATCAGAAGTTAGCAACACACCGTCGTTATGTACAGATTAAGTGCAACCGAAGTTTGAAAAAAGTAGCTACACTGTACAAGGAAATGCAGTCGTCTACCGAGTGAAACAGATAACCGAAACCAAAAACAGCTGCAGAAATGAAATAAAAATATTTGGATAGATACATTTCTACTTTTGATACAGAATAATTTTTAACAGAATAACACATTTCAAAAAATATTCACTAGGGTTAAATCAAAAACTGTTTGAATGAGTTCTAGTTGCACATGTGCAATTGTCATTTGCATTGGTGTCCACACATTCATAACCACTGAACCTGTAGGTTTTAATGTATCATCTAACTTTAAAAAAAAATTGAAAACATAATAAATCATCTGTTTGACTTCATTGCAAAAATATATTGCACTTTTTCAATTGCCGTCCATTTTGCTGACAGTCGTTATACTTTAGCGACCATGACTGTTCCATGTTCAACGTTACAAGTGATCTCGGATCATTCAACTATTACAGAATTCTTTCTTAAGGCCAAAAAAAAAAAGGCTCCAGTTTCTGGTATGGAGTTTGCCCAAAAAGTGGTGCGGCGACGCGGCTGTTTTTTTTTGTCTCAAATGTCGGCTGATGACTGCAAATGGTGCCCGACTAAACTTAGTGCAAATATATGGGAGCATAAAGGTAGCTGAATTAAGAAAACAAACCTGTTCAAAATGTATTTTCATTTGTAATCAGTTGAAAGTGAAACTATTAACAATCTTTTTTTTATGTAGTTTTATTCCAGTCGCGGTTAGTCAAGCAGCAAAACGGTCAAGTCGAACTTAACTGTGTAATTGGGGGATTTTTGGCAAGAGTTTTTAGCACGAGGAACTATCAAGATCTATAAACGAAGCTGAAATACCACGCCACAGTCAATGCACAACTGATTTGAGGCAAAACTTATTCCAATTGAAAAATTGAATATTATCTTCGAAAATTAGATATTATTTTGAAATACACTTTTTGACATATTTTTTTTGTTTCCACACTCGTGAGCATGTGGACAAAAACCCGGCCGCCAGAACCAATGGAGATCAAACAATGGTCGGCGTGTGCAACCATGGCAACCCGGTTACCATCGTCATGGCAACCATCATTTCCGGCCATCTGCATTTTGACTGTTACCGGTTTGGGGCCGAAGGACATGGATAGCGTAAATGTCCACGGTATTTATTCCCAATAAATAAAAGTGTGATAAATTTTCAATACGTGTATGTTGATATGTGAGGGGAAAATAAGGTGTGCAACATTAAAAGCAAGTTAATGAACATCATGACCCTTTGGGGAAAACACATTTAAAAAAAAATTAATAATAAATAAAAACAAACCAATTGCTGTTCTCGATAGATTTACATGTAAATACACACACTTCTCTCCTTTATACACAAAACCACAAACAAAGCTGACACAGTGCTTAATGCGAAATATTGCCCATAATGTTCACAAAGTCATTATTTCTTCTTCCTTTTTTTTTTTTTTTTACAAAGAACAGTTTAAATATTACCTCACATATATTATTTACAAGGAAGCTAATGAGAGAAACTGCATTTCACATAATAATCTACCATAATAAATTAAGTAACAAGTACTGGTCCTTTTGTTTGCACAGAATGAAACTACTCATTTTCACACATTCAGAAAGTATGAGCAAATAATAAAAGAGTGTTTGTTACAGGCAAGACGGCCGAAGTGAACACTTCCTCCTGTGTACTATTATTGCACATGGTGCTAATTGTCTAGCTATATAATTTAACACGACGCCTTAAAATAGTGCGTGAAATAAATAAATAAATATGTTGCACGTGGTGGACCCACTGTGCAGAGATTAACCAAAAAAAAAAAATTGAATCACAATTCACAGGCAACGGCAGCAAGCTTCAAGACGATGTTGAGTTAGTGTTGCAATTGTTGATTTCCATTTACCTGTTTTGACTCCTACGAAAGCATGTGAATCGCAACATCAACAAACAAATATCGTCAACAAATGTGCAGTGTTTGGTGCAGACGAGGTAGCTGTATAGTGTCAACGTGGTTCTACCCGTGGCTTGACCCAACGCCGTTCGGTATGTACGTCTGCCCTTCCTTACCAAGCCGTGGTGAAAAGAACCGGAATATTTTGCTCCCTGCGTCTTTTGTGAAACCAAAGAAGCACTTCTGCACCCTTTTTCACAATTATGTCTAGACAAAAACTTTTGGTTGTCCTTCATCTTGACAACCGTCAAGAAAGCCAGAATCCTGACTTCTCTCATGATGATGTTTCGTAAACTGTAGATAAACTTGAAGTCCAAACTCTCGCCATTGCAGATGAATAAATACAATAGAAAATAAAATAAAAATGGAGAAAAAAAGTTTTCTTTACAATATAGCACGGCTGTCCCGAATAAACCGAATGTTCGAAAAAACAACCTACTCACATACGCACACGACTGTGATGTTACTTTACCATAAAGTTCCGGCGCAGTGTCAGGTGCCATATTTTTGTCGACGGTAACTTTTTTTTGTCGACGGCGGTGCATTATTCACATCTTCCTAGCACATTACAGCCCTTTACAGTTATAAAATGCTTGCTGCAAAACGCTCCAGCGCACCTGCATGCAAATTTTAACTGGCAACTTTTCACCGGCGCCGTATGCAGTTAGTTGCAGCTGGTAGTTTTGAATATCGGAATATTCAGTCAAACGCCGTTTCGAGTAATCCAATACTAAATTCAGTACATCAACTGATGCAGATATGGTAAATCTATGTATACATGTCTCCCTAAAAAAATGAGTATTTCTTGACTCAATCCAATTTCAAACTGTTCTGATGTCTTTGACTATTCAGTCTTGCTTCTCACGTGTACAATGTACCATAACTTTACTAACCTTATTCCCTGCGCGACTACTTTAATTTCACATACATGTAGTTTTCAGTCAAAATTTCTTAAAAACAAAATCAGAGAGTTCTTCACTAACTGTTAATTACAGTCAAAAGGCCTGAAATCTAGTATTTTTTTTTGGCAGGGGAAAATATTATACGTACCTACCAAGATTTGAATACCGCACATAATGTGCCTCTCAAAAGCAAAAGTTTATGAACGAGTTTAAAGGATTTAAATTATGAAACTTTTTTGCTTGGTCTATTCCTCAAAAAGGGCAGGATACCCTTCTTGTTCTTTTTTTTTTTTTTTTTTTTAAATCACACCACATACAGCTCTGGACTATGGCCTTATTCACTACCATTTAATATGAAAAACAGGGACCGATTCAGGGCAACTGTTTCAATATTCCAAGCTTCTTCCAAGTTTCTTTCATAATCTCACAGTAACATGCATCTCTTCTGGCCTTTCTCATGAGGCCTTCAAGTGTTGGCAGTTCTTAGGCGAGGCATCAAAACTCAACTCGGCTGCCTCTGCGTGCAAAAGCCTCGCTTGCCTCAAACAAATCCCTACTCCGTGCAGGCCTTGGAGCCTGCAGCAACTCCACTCTGATCCGCTTCTTCGAAGAGGACTTGGAAATTTGTTTCTTCGTCCAAATAGCCGTTGAGTTGCCTGCCAGTCCAGGGGTCAAGTTGCCGGGCCTCTGGTCCTACTTCTTCTTGTCGCCCCACTCGATGACATCGTAGGCTACCAGGCTGCACAGGGTCAGATACGTCAGCCACAGCATGACAAAGAAAGCGCTGGTCACCACCTGAAAGCCGGCCGGCCCCCCGAGTTCCCCGCCGATTCGGCTCATCTTACGCCGCACCATCAATAACACGATGGCCACGACGGCCAGGATGGTGAAGAGCATGACGGAGAAGCCCAGAGCCCCAGGGTCCACCTCAAAGCCTCTGGGTTCGTTGTAGTTGGCAATGGCTGCCATGGTCCACGCTACCCCGATCCCCAGGAACACGTTGACTGCGTTGCTGCCCGTCACGTTGCCGATGGAGGCATCGGCATGCTTGTCACCCACGGCAGCCACCTTGCTGGCAAATGTGTCTGTTGATAAAGATTCATCAATTGTTTTTTAAATCAGTGTTAATAGCAAAATTCACAATGGCACTAGGGTCTTAATGACCATGTCCCCCCTGGTCACCCCCTTTGTCCTGCCCCCTCTCCCCTGTTACACAACTTTCCTCGCCTTCCACCGCTGTGACCTGGGTTCGAATCCCGCCTGGGCCAACATGTGGATTGGGTTTTCAGTCCCTACCTGATTCCGTGGGTTTTCCTCCCACCTCTAAAACTGTAATTTCTTCTCATCGTCTTCTCTCTACAGGTTTCTTCAGGTTTGCGAGCTACAGTGCCTAGGGCGCTTTTGAGGAATCCTTGGTTTCATTACCAGAAATAAAATAATAATAATAACTGTATAACGAGGACTCATCTCTGACAAGCTGCAGAAACATTCCCTGAGGTGATTCATTTTGCATGATTCTAGAAATTCTGCATTACTTCAGGAATCTTGCTCGAGTAGGACTTTTCACACAAATGAGTGCCCGTATATCCCTGACTGTGATGTATTCAGCCTATCGGGGAGAAATTCCCCCTTAAAGTAGCCTTTAGTCAAGTCCCACGCGCCTATACCCAGACCATCCGGACACGTAACGCATGCCGGATGCTGGCACGTAAAAAGACTAGCCCGAGCGGCAAAGCCGCGAGGGCCTTTACTATCTCGTGGAACTAATCACTTATTCATTTATTCACGTAATATAAATCAAGCAATATAAACCAATCATCTAACGGTGGTTTGCTGTTACCAGCAACAGCACGCGCGCCATGGCTGTCTGGCGCCAGACGACGGCTGCATGATTTACGTTAGTAATTCTGCATTTTCATTGGTCAATTCACAACGGGTAATGCATTATGCATGTCTACCAATCGGTAGACAAATGTAAAGAAAAACATAAGCGTTCTCCACGAGATGGTAAAGGCCCTCGCGGCTACGCCGCTCGTCCTAGTCTTTTTACGTGTCAGCATCCGGGGTGCGTCACGTGTCCGGGTAAGCGCGTGGGACTTGACTAAAGGCTACCCTTAAAGGGACACTAGGTCCTGGAACAGCCCAATTGGGCTACAAAACGCGCTTTGAACAAGATGATGTTAATCGGAAATAACATTTTAAATTAGGATATAAACATCCACACAACTATCCTTTCAAATCTGGGTGTTTTTGTGTTATTCCTGTATTATGCGTGCGAGAACGAATTTCGGGGTCCACTTTTGCGACCCCATAAATTTGAGCTGTTTGGATGCTAGTTGTGATTTCATTCGTAAAGCGTTCACCTTTTGAGGACGTTGAAGAAACCACTTTTTTTGCATACCAGTGATTGGTCACCGCTGTTCCCAAGACACACAACGTGTATATTGTACACTGAGAACGACACAAAAAACGTTTTCGTACTCCGTCATGTCCGATGTAAACAAGCGGGTTTTTTTCGTCTTTTCTCGGGAACAGTAAGACATTAGGTTGGTTTCCTTTCAACCAGATCTTTGAAATGGGCTCAGTAAACAATCCAAAACATAAAATTTTCGGGGATTTCAGGACCTAGTGCCCCTTTAAATGTTCCAGGATTATTATTGAGATGCCTCACATGGCAAAAGGTAAGGGCATGTGAAGCATACCAGGTGCCATATGTTCCCAACCCCTCAGCTTTTTTTTTTTAGTGTGAGGGGGAATGCTTGATGTTCATGTTGAAATTGATGTTGTCTTGAGGAGAAACAATAAGGTCTCAGATTTCTCAGAAAAAAAGACATGGAGTCAACTCGAAAAATTGGATAAAAGTTTAAATGTAGGCTGAATTAATTTCAAAATGAAGGAGAACTATAAAGTATAATAGGACCAATTTTTTGAGAACTAAGTGTGACAGTTTGAGAATGTCCTCAATGTACATGTTACTTTAGACATAAATTAATCCAAACCTTAAATTCACTGCATGTTCTTTGTTATTAAAGTCGTAGATGCGTCATTGAAGGTAATAAGATTGATTTACACAAACGTGTCATTTGCTCAAGCACATTGGAGCGTCCAAGTAAGGCGAACTAGGAATAATCAATACCCATTATGGAAAAAAGGCATACCAGGTACACTGGTCCCCAGCGCCACAAATGAGATGGCGGTGACGGTGGCCTTGAGGTTGATGGTGCAGCCGAAGTGTTCAGCCAGGTCGCCGATGAAAGCCGTCAGAACCCCAATCATGACGATGGAAAAGACGAAGCAGGCCCAGCCGCCCAGGAGGTCGGTAGGCGGCACGATGGCAAACAGCAGCTTCCAGAAGATGGTCAGGAAGTGCATGACGTAGTCGCCACACGAGGGCAGCTTCTCCTCTCCACCGTCTTCCTCATCATCCCCTGTGGGTCAAAGGTCAAGGTTAACAGTAAAAGTAGGCCAGAAGTCCCAAACCTCTCAGAGAAAGTACACTTATATTTATCTGGAGCCCTTTCCCCGGAGCAAGTTCAGGCAAGGACCATTATGGGCTCTGTTCACAAGTACCCCCTCACTGGCAAGAAAGGGAGAGTTGGGGGAGACCATACAGTCTGGTTCCTCGACCTAAAGATGCCGACAAATTTCTGACTAATCTTAGATTCATCAGAAATAGATCTTTTATTTTGCTTTTCATTATTTATTTTCTTTCCCACCTCTTCAAAAACGTTAAAGAGGATGTGGAATGCTCGAAGACATTTCCGTCATTTTTCGGGTATATGTAGCCTAAGGTGTGATGAAATAAAAACGACTATTGTTTCTGTCATGAAATGAGTACAAAAGGTACTTTTGAGAGCTGTTTTTCATGTCCAGTTTCGACCCGAACGTGCAACTGTGTAAATGTCGTCGTTGCGGGCAGCAAACAAAACACAGTAAATCGTGACGTAATAAACAGGACTCCCGATGCACAGTAGCATACACGAGTCCTGTTTATTACGTCACGATTTACTGTGTTTTGTTTGCTGCCCGCAACGACGACTTTTACACAGTTGCACGTTCGGGTCGAAACTGGACCTGAAAACAGCTCTCAAAAGTACCTTTTGTACTCATTTCATGACAGAAACAATAGTCGTTTTTATTTCATCACACCTTAGGCTACATATACCCGGAAAATGACGGAAATGTCTTCGAGCATTCCACAACATCTTTAAGGTCTACCTGTGCACATCTTTTGATCATAGGTGACATTGTGACATACCTGCACTGACTGTGAGTGCCTCAACAAACTGCTCCCTCCATGACGAGGTACCGACCACCAAAGAAACGTTGGTCTTCTGGATCAACTTGTCGACAGTGTTCTGAAATATTAAAAAAAGGGTAACTCAACAGTCATTCCATTAGGACTCCAGATACTTCATTGGAGAAGTACATTTATAGGCGTGGCCGTGGGTGGGATTACCTCAGCCAATGACCTCATGCTTGACTTGCCATGGGAAAACCAGTTTCTCATCCAAAGGATATCGATAATACACAGGTGATGAGTGCCTAGAAAGCCACGTTTGTTTTTTTTTGTTTTTGTTTTTGGAGTTCATTCTTGATTTCCCTACGTATAGACTCACACAGTCATTCATGCAGAAATGAGAACACAGGCAATATAAGATTGTATGGTGCATTCGCAGACGGGGCCAGAAATCTGGGCCTAACCGATTTCTGCCCAAGATGACTGGAGTGTTTAATCAATAGAGAGAGGTGGCCGGCTGGAATGATGTCAATGGTTACCGGTGGAATAACACTGGTGCCCGCTTCTGAGGCTCCATACATTAAATAATAAAAACTGCACGTACGGCTTCTGCAATGCTGTTGAAATGATTAATTATTAATTATGCTCATGACATATTAAACAGATAAATGAAGTGTTATAAAAATAAAATCCAATTACTTACAGTTATAAAATGACAGAATTAATTAAAATCTAATTTGATTGGCTCATGGTGTACATGCAAGTAGGATGTATTTTTGTAAGCTATCCAAATCATTTTGGCTTTATTCCTGGTTTGGTTAATACTACGGCCCTAGAAACTACAGAGGCTTACACATCATGTACATAAAACCTGTCCTATTAATATAAGCTGCTGTTTAATTTCAGCTGCTGAGATGAAGTCCATGTATATACCGATGGGGAAAATGGCCAAGAAATCACCAGTTAACTCCAGCCTGGTTAGCTCACAGGTCCTTAGGCTCAATCCATTAGAACATCACAGCTGCAATGGAGCGTGTTACTCGTGTTTACACGTGTGTATTCACCCGAGTGCGCGAGTGGTGAGAGTTTGACCTGCAGGCACGGGATGCATGTACGGTAGTTTAAACACTCTCAGCCTGAACGCATACTCTTCATACATACGACAAGTCCATATTTGTTTCCATAATATTTCAACACAGCATGTAAACATTAAGGAGCTTTCCAATGTGAACTGTGTAAATGTTTCTGATTTTCTGTTCCTAATACAATATATGCATGTTGTCATACTATTTAGGGGAGACCTGAATATACATTCACATACACATAATTTCAATTCAAGGGCGTAATTCCAGGGGGGGGGGGGGGGAGAGGGGGTGATGGGGAGGATATATCCCCCCCCCCCCCCCACAATCTTCTGATCAGGGAGGGAATGGGCCTTTGAATTTGAACCATTCCCCAAGATTTCTGTGGTTATAGAAACAAGAAAACAAAACAAATTGTAAATTTCCGATAGTCCCAATGTATTAGTTCAGAAAACCGGAGAACAATGCAAACAATTTAAATGCACCATTTTGCAAGGGACGAAAGTTCGCAAGTTCGCATACTGTACATTTGTATCATTAACAGCATCCCCTAAAGTCACATGACTTCACCCGCCCTCCCCCCCCCCCCACCCCCACCCCATTTGCCACAGCCGGGCAATTGTTGGATTATGGGTCATCCCGCATCTCCCCCCCCACTCACCGACACGGATTTATGCCACTGTGTAACTTCCTGTATAAAACTCAACTCAACTTTAAACTCAATTTCCCCATGCTACTATTGCAGTCCCAAACAATTTCCCACAGTTATGGCTATGGCTATGGCTACTGACAGCATGTTCCCTACTACTCTACTAATGCGAGGGCATGTGTTGGCCTTTAACCTATGCCATCTCGGGTTCCACGAATATGGCACCTCCAGACCAGTTTATCCATCATGGCAGTCCTCAGTTCATTAACACTGTCAAGGCCTGTTTCGCTTCGTAGTACACTTGGTAGTACACTGATGCATGCTCCCACCTAGTTGTTATTCTCAAAGTCCCAAACAATAACTCAAGACAAGAGATTCAGATGCGGCCTTTCATTGACCGTCTTGGTAACGTGACCCCAGGGTAATGTGCACACATGACAGTTTCCTTCTCTCACGAGTTACAAGATTATAGTACATAGTGACAAACTCTAATGTGCTGAACGTCAATGTAGCCAACAGATTGTCCGATTCATTCGCAACTGGTGGATTATTCATGAGCACTCAATCCTGTGAAATGCCCTGAAAGAAAACAGGATTACTTTTTCTGTTTTTAAACCGACGGTACGTGCCGAGGTCAAATCAGGAAGCGCTTGTACATACATCCCAAGCCATCCTATGATTTTCCACGCAATCACGGATGTGCAGTTAAAGGGGCATTCCTGGAATGCGCACATTTTGTCACATTTGATGTTAATTGGAAAGAGCATTTAAAAGTAGGATATAAATGTCCACACAACTATCCTCTAAAAATTTGGCGTTTTTGTGTTATTCTTGCGAGAAAGAATTTCGGGGGGTGAGAAGTTTGACTCTCAAATATCGAGCTGTGCTAGTTGTGAATCCTGCCGCACATGTTCAATGAGAGCATCATATTTTGCAGGCATGCAAGAAACAACATTTGTGTAATGGTGCTGTGTGTATTATGTGTCACACACACACAACGTGTACCACACAATGTACTTAAGTTTTCGAGTATGAAAGTACAGTTTCAAAATGCTCTTATTTTAACCAGGATGAATTTCCTTGGCTGAAATTTGGACTTGTGTGCATGTCTCCAGAGGGCACGGTGTATCAGATCACGAGAACAAAGAAATGTCTCCACATGAATACAAATTTCAGTATGCGTGAATTGGCATGGCTGGAAATATGTTTGCGCATGCCACAAAGTGTCCGCTGGTCCGATGTAAACAATTGGTGGTTTTTTCCCGTCTTTTGTCGGGAACGGTAAGACATTAGGTTAGTTTCCTTTCAACCAGACCTTTGAAATAGGATAAGAAAACAATCCAAAACAAAATTTTGGGGGGATTTCAGGCCGTAATGCCGCTTTAAGACATGGAGTAACATGTACGTGTTCTAAATCAAACCTCGATGCTTTTTGTGTGCGCGCGTGGGCGTCATTACGCTCGTAGACAATACCGCTAGAAGGGCTGTCCCGAGTTGTCTCCCAATGCAATTAGCATTGACTCAATTGTGGGCAACCGTGGTCTCAGATCTGCAAATATATGGGTCAGTGTTTATCAAGCTTTCCATTAAGCCTGACGGGTTCACTATCACATACAGGGAGTTGGGGACTTAAATCACTGTAAACAGCAACGGGAGGATCAGAAGAAAAAAAAGAAAAAAGGATTTATAGGTTAGCTACATGTATGTAAGAGTGGGACGGCAGCTCCAAACTGCAGGGATGAATACTCATTAAAGGTATAGTCAATCATTTGTAATTTGCGCATTTTGTTCGTTTGAAGCAACAAAAGTGCTCAAGATCTAAAGAAGGGTGCTGAACAACTAACCTGATGAAGTTTCATCTCAGCTTTAGCTGTATATTACGAGAAAAACAACATTCTCGGATACCTCGATTTCAAATCAAAAGTTGCTGAATCATGTTTTGAATTTGGCCTGAATTCAGCGTCCGAGACATGTTCATGTTCTCACTGAGCCGATTGCTGCTACGGGATGTCGCGCATTGATCCGACGAATTATAGCAACTGCGCGCGTGTGTGCGTGTGTGCGTCGTGCCAATGCTTGTGCGCGCTTCGTCGAATAACAAAACGAACTACTTAAGAAGCACCGTTGGAAAGAACTCCTTTCGTTGATTTTTTCAGAATGACAGCTTGCCAGAAAGAATAATTTCACAGGGAGTTTAGCCCCCTTAATATGTTTCACCCAAGTATGTTTTTTAACAATAATTACGCCAGTTACTTTTTGGATAGCTGCAAATGATGGACTCTGGCTTTAAGTAACAAGTATGAATATTCATTAAGTAAATTCATTAAGTAAGTACAAATGTACATGTTCATTACGTAACAAATGTGGGGATGCAGTGCAACACTTTAAGAGCATATGGCAAAACGTAAATAACAGAAGTGAAACTGTGCTCACCAGAACAGTGCTATGTGTATACATTTCAAATCTCAAGATCTGTGACCTGTCAACTGATATTATTGCTGCTCTACCCGTGCTCATTTTTGTTCTAACAACAAATTTTCATTTTGTTCTTTTTATTTAAACAATTTTTTTTTTTTTCTGTTTTGGACGTTTTCAACTGTCTGAAAAAATATTCTTAAAAAAAAAATGGTGGTTGCTTTTTCGCCAATAACGCACAAACATTCTGCAAAAATTATTTGTCGGGCCACAAGTAATTCAAAATTTGCACAGTTATTATTCCATAACTAAATGAGGGGAACTTGTTTTGTTTGATGTTTCATTCAAAAGGGAATAACTTTTTTATTGTCAGAAAAAAAGTAGCAATTTAAAGATATAGTCCATCATTTGTAATTTGTGCATTTTGTTCATTTGAAGCAACAAAAGTGTTCAAAATCTAATGAAGGATACTGAACAACTAACCTGATGAAGTTTCAGTTCAGCTTCAGCTGTATATTCCAAGAAAAACAGCATTCTAGGATCTCAATTTCAAATCAAAAGTTGCTGAATCATGTTTTGAATTGCAGCTATACGCGATGTCGGGCACTGATCCGACGAATTATAGCAACCACGCAGCCTGTGCGTCGTGCCAATGCTTGTGTGTGCTGCGCCGAATAACAAAACGAACTACTAATTTAAATTTTCCTACGGTGCGTCTTGAGACGCCCCGTTGGAAAGGCCTTCTTTCGTTGATTACTTCAAAATGATAGCTTGCCGGAAAGATTAATTTCACAGGGAGTTTAGTCCACTTACTACATGTACCTTTCAACCAAGTATGTTTTTCAACAATAATACGCCAGTTACTTTTTCGGATGGCTGCAAATGATGGACTATAGCTTTAAACAAGCTCTGTATTTTTAAGGTGAAACTTGAAATAGCATGGGAGACGTACTTCAGCATTGCAATAATTAG